TTGGCAATTGAGAGAGTGAAAAACTGACCAAAAGTACCAAGGCCAATCAACACCTCAGAAACAACATCAAACTTTGCACAGGCATGCAACACTGTGTGTAAAGAAAGAGTCCACAAGATCGTACAATATTGTTGAACTAGAAACACCTGCCACCAAGAGAGAACACCAAAGTAATGAAACACCATCATGAGCAGAGGAACACCATTGAGAACGTGATTATACACGAGTTCGCTTTTCCTTAAATCGGTCACATTCACTACTTCATGTTCTTTTCGTTTGATCAATTCTATTGAGACTATTTCGTCGATGGGTATGGTACTTACAGATGTGTGAGAGTGTTGAGAGGATTGTTGTTGAAAGGCAACCTCTGGTATGGATTCAAATACTTCGTCATCACTGCAATAATTGTTATTGGTTGAGAGAGTGGTCACTTTGCCGTCCGACAAGGAATCATCCCGAATTTCGATGGTAATGAAAGAATGTGGATGTAACAATTGTTTCTTTCGTTTTTCATGTCGTATAACATCCAAATAGGTTACTGGTGAAAAAGATGGCGTGGTAATGATTGGAGTTGTTTCATCGACGAGTTGCTCTTTGTTTGTAAGTATGATCTTTGGCTTCTTTTGTAATGAAGGCAGTGGATGATTTTCATGTTTGAATCGAGGAGATTTTAAACACCATCCCATGTAACCAATGGCAACACTCTGAAAGTTCTTGTAGATGTCATACATGAGAAATTCTTCTTCATCTTTCTTTGACGACAGCTCTTCCAATTGTCGATTCATGCTTTCCATACATTTTACAAGCTCTGAAAGGCAATTCATGATGCTGTCCTCCAAATTTGATCCTTCATGCTCTTTCATCCACAGAGAGATATAATTGTTCTTAATTCCACATTTCAAATCTTTAGGATAGGAACAAACGTCGTTGACAAGAATGCATGCTTTGACAGCATCATTATAGAACTCACTCTTTCTGAGGTCCTCAAACATGTTTGAGCTTGTACTGGCAACAACGACTTGATCCATTCGTGTGTTTTCTTCATTCCTTCCGACAGCAATCAAAAAACCAAAATACATTAAAACTTTCGCTAATGAATCACTTTCTCTCATTTTCAAGTACTCTCTTACTGATGGACTCGAGTCCTTCACCCACAACTTTGCCATCCAAACATTGTTCTCGAATGTTTCCATCATGATGGATCTAACATTCTCGAAATGATCAATCTCGAAACTTGTCCTTGATGACTGACAAACGGATGACGTTAACTCTGAATAACACTGTAAAAGGACTTTCTTTCCAAGCTCCAAAGATGGGTTGAAAGTAGATGTGACAGTACTGTGTTGTTTTGTACGACTTCGTGAAGCCCCTATCGCTGAGGATGAATGATGTAAAATGGTGCTTGATAACACACTTGAAGCTGTGACAACTTCAGCCGAAGCTTGAATTGGGGATGTTGTCACTGGATCTGTATTGGTAGAGTCTGCATTTGGACTGGTCAATGCACAATAATCGCAAGGAGAATCAGCTGGTGTTGTGATATGGAGAGCTAGTGTTGCATCTGTTGTTGGACTTAACAACAGGGTTTCTGGTTGTGATGTTATGGTTGTTCGATTCTTGTCCGTGATAGGAATAGAAGGATAAAGGGTGGCTAACAATTCAATATGTGATTCTAGTTCGTCTCTTAATTCTCCAGTACAATCCTTCTCTTGATCGCAGGCATCATCCACAACGCTAAGATAAGCGAGAAGTGAAGCAAATAGTTGAAGATGCTCTAATGAAGCATATGGAAAGCAGAGTGAGATCCAAAAACAAATATCTACGATGCCTTTCTTGTGATATTCATTGTCAGGAAATTGACATTCTTTGAATTGGACGGATGTGTTTTCAATGATCTTTTGAAAGTGTGTATTGGTTTCAAGGGTTTCTAGACTGCAGAGATTGAACAATGACTCTGATAAAGAATGAAGGGATTGACGGCTCTCTTCCTCTCTCGTTTCTTTCGTTGATAGTGATGAAGAATTGTCACTCATCTTTTTTAAATGTTGTGCTATTTTCAAATTGCTATGCACTTTTTTCATGTTGACGGTAGAACTAATTTGTATTGAATCCTTATTTTTACGACTCGTGACATTGTCGAATTGAAACTAGGCTTATCGTCATTTTAATGAGGGATGTTAGACAGATAAGTACGTTTGATCCCTGCTCCAGTTTTGAACTTTGGAACCTTGTCATATTATCTCGCACACTCTGAAGATCAACATTCATGTCCATGCCGAGAACTTTCCGACATCATCAAAAAAATAATGGATTGAGAAGTTACCATCATCAACATTCGCTCTAAAATGCTCGAAACAATATATTGCCAAAATTATGATATACCATTATTTGTTTGGAGAGCCTGTTCAGGTCCGAATGTGTTGATTCGTGCTTTTGAATTATTGGTATGAGAAAATTTTGAATTTAAATCGGAGTATTGGTGGGTTCGGATGGATCTAACTTCGACTTTCTAATGAAGTGGAAATGATGTGGGCCATCCTTTATTGATCCAGTGTTTACAGGGAAACAGTTTTTTTTGGTATTGGCAAAGAACATTTATGGAAAAGGAGAATATGCTCGAAAACTAAGCGAAAAAATGAACGATCAAAGCCTTAATCCTTCGTCCGGGAACAGTAACATCAATACTACAACTGTTGCTGGTGCTGCGAGTGGCACTAACTCTCATCCCTCTTCGACTCATAATCATGGCCATGGATCAGGAGATAGAACGCATCATGTTCATCACTCTTCCCAAAATTCTCTCATGGAAGCAGGTCCTCCATCAGGCCTAACATCAGGCTTCAAGAAGGTCAACTCGGAAGTAAGAAATGAAAGCTTTTCGAGCACTTCAGGAGAGACTTTTTCCTCTACCGACCTCTCTACCTTGCACTACAAGATCACCCAAGATTTGATGACATTTCTCTTCACCATGCAAAATAATTCGAGACATTATGGATGGAAAAATTACTGTCTTGATTTAATATTACATGCCCAGATATTTTGGAGTTTTATATTCATTCCTGTGTTGAGTCCTCAAGACTTTTTGTTTGGGCAATGGGGAAGTTGGATATTTACCATTTTAAATTGGAACACATCACTCTCAATGGATCTACTGCCTTATTATGGAGCAGTTGGTATTTCTAGTGCTGGCTTATTTCTCTTATTCATGATGTTTATGTTGTACATTGTCGGTAGGAAAGCAGCACTTGATACATCAAGTATGGTGGTGTATTTGAGAAAGGTTCTTCATACTCTGTCTTTTATAATCATTTTGTTCTCGGCTCCAATAGCATTTATATTTTCAAGCTTCTTTGACTGCAGTTATGGATTTCCAATTATACCTCATGCAACCACTGCTGGTACAATCATACTGTCTAACAGTACCCAACCATCTTCCCTTGAAAACGGCGGTATGAATTTGAATAGATTTCCCATGACTTCCTGTTTTTCTAGCGACAACATTATCATGTGGACTATTTCACTCATTGGAATGATTGTATTACTAGCAGTCACAGTGTTGTCTTCATGTATCATACCTCACATGCATCCTTTAAGCACATCCCTGTTCAAAAGTGATTCCTTGTTGTTTAGAGTGAGTTTTTTAGCCTGCAACATTGTTTCCATCACTATACATTATTTGATTCCTCCGCAATGGGCCTTCGCACGATCTGCTGTTCATATTGCAATAAGCATGGGGATGGCTTTCTTAGTTTTCAAAACAATCCCAATGATGAGAAGATGGGAAAACTCTCTTCTCTTTGCAATAACATTAGGCAGAGTCGGCACCTCTCTCGGTGGACTTATTTCACATTTAGCTAATACAACATTGAGTAACGAGTTTGGAATCGCAATGACCATGATGACAATTGGTTTCATGGCTCTTTTCTTTGTTGCTGGCTTTGTGAGCATGGAACTTTATACAAGGATTGTGTTTAGTATGTTTAAAAGCAGGTATTTTAGCCCTCAAGACGAAGATAATGGAGGAGAACGAGAACTACTGCAATTGTATCATATAATGGAAGAAAACAAGCATTTACCGCTCTTATATTTGTAAGTATTTAGTGTGCAGTGTATGGCAGAAAAATTTACATATTTTTTCAGATATCTAAAGTTTTCCATGACCTCACCTAACCATGACGACCTACTTCACGGAATTAACCTCATTCGTGGCGTCACATCCTTGAAAGCGTTTAATGACATTCACTCACTAATTGTGTCGGCTCTAATAGTCGCATACTTTATACCTGATGAAGTTAATTCGTCAAGCTTTGCTCAAGCCTTGCTAAAGAAGGCCATAAAACAACGCCCTCACATATTTCTAAAATTTCTAATCGGTCAAAAGAAAAAAGAGATTGAAGTTTACACCACTGAAGTAATTAAAACTAATGGATCTATGGAGTTGAACTCGACACTCTTTAAAGTTGAAAAGAAAATTAAAGAATTAACGGCCATTCATAGACACTTTTTTAAGGAATTAATGCAGGAAATTGTATCATATGAAAAAGCTGAAAGAATGATGATGCGATGTGCAGTTTTGGAAGGAGAATGTGATTCTATTTTCAAAAATGTTCTTAAGCTATTCAACAACAACAAAACAGTGCTTAGAATGTAAGTATTAAAATTTTATTCGGCACGATGCTATATGTACTAATATCAAGGTATGCACAATATTTGGAAGCATTCAAATTCAACAAACAGCTGGCACAAGAGTTTTATATGGAGGCTTCTAGTATTGAGGAAGAAGAATCTGTTCGAAAGCGAGTTATAGGCTTTAGAAATAGCGGCACAAAAAAACTTGCCAAAAAAACCAACCGAGCATCTGTTGTTCATCCAGAATCAGAGGAGAATCCAACAACATTGCAGGATTCAGACAAGAGATTTCGTTCTAATAACTCGATCACTGTCAGTGTCCATTCTAGAAATGCTACAGAAGAAAAACCACCTGATATGGAAAGAGCCAATAGTGAGTCCAGTTTTGATCTTACAGGAGTAGACACTTTAAACAACGAAGCAAAACGTGAACTAACCTACAGATCCACATTATCAACACCATCATCAAGAGCTATTCAACTAGGATTGTTTTTGTTTTTCATTGCACTTTCATTTCTGCTTGTCACTGCAAGTTTAGTTATAGGCTATTTCATTTCTCACGAAGTTACAGACCACGTGACAACGGCACGTAGCGCATGTGCTCCTGTTATGGGACTAACAACAATACTGGTCAATACTCGTGGATTTCAACTTGTACAAAACTTTGGATCTGAGAGTTTAGCTCATGATGTTTCAACCCAATTGTTTCTAGATATAGAGGAAAATAAGGAAATGATGAAAGGTAAGTGGAGAGTTTCATATAATGGTGTCAAACCACTTGACAAATCCAGAGATGATGAGCTTGGCAATGGAACTAAGATCGGCTGCTTATGATTCTAAATTTTCTGACAGGATTTATGGTGTTTATCACGGAGAAGGCTTCCCCGTGCTTATTCCTCAAATCGAAGACCACAGTATTAGAGTTTATAATGTCACCGCAAAAGAAAATGCCACCATAGCAGATATCAACAGCATGATCATAGAAGCTACCAAAAAATTGCTACAGTATGACGAAATAGAGCTGAAACAAACCTTAACTAGTTACGAGTTCATGTTATTGCATAGAAATTTTGATACTTTTACCCACGCCTATGAGAAATTTTGCGGAATGTTCATGGCTTCTTCTCAAAACGACGCGTTAGAATTGAATCATACCTATATCACTTACACATCTATTTCTCTTTCTATTTATGTTGTATTTTCAATTTTTTACATGATTTTTATGAGATTTGATTTGGTAATTGTAAAAAAGCAAATTAAGCTTTTGCAAAAGTTTGTTACGAGGTAAGTTGTTCTGCCGTCTTTGCCTTGATGTTGAGGCATTTTCTTTCAAGAAATGAGATTGGAAAGGTGAGTTTGGAAGCTTAATTTATTTCTTTTCTAATGTTGTTCAGATTTATCATGCACTCGGTAAGAGAGTTGGAGACGAAACGACAATACACATTTCTAAAGCTGCATATTTGAAGCCAAAAAATTTATTTATCATACTCACCATGGCCATGGCGTTCACAGTAACTCTTAGTTGTGTTCTGTTCTTAGAGGAAACCCTTGCTAATACCAACTACAGCGTGCAATCGTATTCTACCATCAGATACAGCTATCACACGCTGACATTTATTCAACACATCGCTTTCTACGTTACCGAAATATTTTCCTCAAAAGTAGCACAAAACCAGACACAATTATTGACGCCTGAAGAGCTTGAGTTTTTCCATGACGATTTCAACAATATTATAGCCTCTGTTAGAGAATATTGGGGGTTATGCTTGTACGGATCTGATGAGCAATCAGGCAGAGATAAAAGAGTGATTGGCTTATTTCCTGAAACTGACGAAATGATTAAGGGTAATGAAAATTGCACCCTCGAACAGCTTTTACACGACTCAACATCTCGTCATAATTTTTCATGTGTTGTTGGCGTTGACAGTACCATTTCTGACATTGCTTTGAAGAGTAGAAAACTTCTTGAAGATGTTCAAGCCTCAGACAGCTCAATGTGGCAAAATATCAACTTTTTTATGGACATTGCTTTTTTAACCAGCTATGTCTCTCAAGTTTTGATCAACTTTTCAGATGTATTTGCTTTGGCTTCCAGTGAACCCAAGCTAGAACTATTTACAGCTGTCGCAGTGTTAGCTTTCACAAGTTTGGTTGTATTACTTTTTGGTTTAGTGAACTCCATGTCACTTCACGCAAAAACGACATTTACCATGAGAATGATGTTCAATTATATTTCTCTCGAGACGATTGAAGCTAACGAACGATTGAAAAATTATGTCTTGTATCACTCTTTAATAAGCTTCTTTGAGAAGTTAAGCTACCAAACAGACTCGGATAGCTCAGATGCCAAGCTCATCTCGATTTTGAATGCATCCGTTGAGGGAGTGGTGCTTTGTAACTCGACACTGGGGATGGAAATTGTGAATCCTGCTTCTCTTAGAATGTTCGGCTATCAAAGTGAAGATGTAATTGGCAAGCCCCTAGTGTCGTTATTCGAAAAGAATAAGCAAGACACGATACGAAAAGAAATCGAGTCAATGAAAACAAGTGTCACGGAGCATGATTCAAAAGGAGAAACATTTGATGTGGATTGTATTAGGAAAAATCAGACATTATTTCCATGCAAGGTAACAATATTCGTGTCGGTGTTCCAAAAGAAGCAGATCGTTACTTGTTTTCTCAAAGACGTAACCTCTGAAAAGAAACAAAATTCTCTCCTTGCAGAAGAAAAGAAGAATAGCGAAAAGTTGTTACTTAATATTTTGCCTGAAGAGGTTGCTACTCAGTTAAAGAATGGTATTAGTCTAATTGCAGAGAAATTTACCGATGTAACTTGTTTTTTCAGTGACATGGTGAATTTTACAGGTAGGTTTTGAGTGTGAAACATGTTTTTTTCCAACATTTACCTTGCTTAGCCATGTCGTCTACAATGAGCCCATCAGACTTGGTCCAAATGCTCAATATTATTGTGAATGGATTTGATGATCTTACTGATACATATGAAATTGAAAAAATCAAAACAATTGGTATGTTTTAAAGTTCCCATTAATATATATAATATACTATTATTTTAGGAGATGCATATTTTTGTGCTGGAGGACTTTTTAACAGTTTATCAGACCATCCGGAAAGAGTACTTCGGTTCTCTATGGATACTTTTTCAGTGATCCGACAATTTAATAGCAAGTTAATGTTGGAGTTTTATGGTAATGAAAACAATGTACCTCCTCAACAAATTAATATTCGCTGTGGCATTAACACTGGTACGTTTTTTTGCATTTTCAGTTTCATGAATGGATAACATATCTAAAAACCAATTTCTAATGAACTACAGGTGGTGTAATTGCAGGAGTGATTGGAAAGAAAAAGGTACGTATTAGAATGATTGGCATTATTTCTTTTACATTTGTCACAGTTTGCTTTTGATTTGTGGGGTGACACCATCAATGTGGCCAGCAGAATGGAGAGTACAAGCAAGCCTGGAAGAGTAAGAATTAGGTACGTTTTTGTTTTGGGTTTGATATCCCTCTTTTACACTACTCCATGGATGAAAAGTCGCTCAACATATGAACGAGTGCATGATCTTGGGTTTACATTTGTGGAAGAAAAGACCGATGTTAAAGGCAAAGGATTGACACAAACCTACTTGTTGAATGCGTGTCATCATGTATGTGCCATATTGACATCAGAAGAAATTAATACACTTAGAAGCGAGAAGGATGATTTAAGCGTTGAGAGGCTTAGTCAAACCAACCTTAATCAATTAGACAATGCCAACGAGAATTTCTCAAAACAATCAGATCTCCCACAACAATAAAAGGGAATGTGCTTTAAATATTGTGTATTCCCTTATTCAAAGGCTTGATACATGAATTTGAAAAATCTTTCGGAGTATGGCTTGGGATGGATAGCGCTAATGGTGTCTGATTTTGAGGTGATTGACTTTAAATGATGTTCAGACTCCTTCTTGAAAGTCCACTCAGTTAAAATGTCAATAATTCCAATGTAGTACAATTCTGATTCTTCTTCGAGGTTCTTAGCAAGCTGAGAACTTGGGATGGCACAAACACACTTGTTGTTTCGCATTAACCTTGCTCCAAATCCACTGGTCTTACGAGAGGTGTTGGGTGTTGATGTAAGTATGGTTGTTGGAGATGCAATTTCTTGCTGTGAATCGACTGACACAAAATTAGAAATGGTTGCAGCACCACTACTGGAGGATGTGGTATTATTACTTCTTGCTGCTTTACATACTCCAACCAGAAGGGAGTAGTCCAATAAATTACAACTTGCCAAAAATTCTATAATGTTACAGTTCATGAAAGAATAATGGAATGATTAATCTCATGAGAATACATACGTGTATCTTTTTCAATGATTTTCATATAATTCAATTTGTTTTCTAATCCAATCGTGAAGGTTCTCTTCTTTTCAAGCAAATCTAAATCCTTTTTACAAAATCCTTCAGGATTCTTTCGACCCTGAGTACTTCCTTTCAAATCATACAACTCAATCACTGGTCTCGATGATGAAAATATATTTCCCATAACAATAAAATTAATACGCTCCGAGTTGATGATCATTTCATGATGACCTAAAATTCGAACAATGAGTGAATCTGGATTTTGTGACAAGTATTTGTAATACATGGGAAGAATTCGCTTCAAACATGCAACTTCAGCTTTGGAAATGGTTTTGACCATGAATTTTCGATCGTTGGAATAAAAGAAAAAAGATCCTGATTTTCCATCACTTTGTGAAATTTACATCCGTCATCAAGCGCTTGTCATGATTTTCAAGAACATATTAACACCAAAAAACTCACCTCAAATGTTCAGATAAGGTTGAAATACTACCCAATAGCAAATTTCCAAGTAATTGTTCAGGTCCCAAACTCAACATGTAACTCGCTTCAGTTATTCCTGTCATTTTACGAATATGTTTAAATACAAATGGAGCATAGTCTACAAAGGTTGCAGCAACTTCTTCAGAATCATAGGGAAGAGAGGAACCTCTTGGAGAATGTGGTCGAGTGGTGTCAGAATTTGATAATAATAAATTTCGACTCGATTCTTTGGGAAGATCGAACATTAATCTCACACTAAAATCTTCCATTCGTACATCTCTTTCATCTATCGTCAAGGTTGTAATTGCAAGTGTGAAATTAAGGTCATTTCAGGAATTTAATAAAATATAATATAACACGCACACACATACCTATGGATCCAATGCAATCTGAAGACAATCTAATTCCAATCATCATATTTAAACATAAATTCCATTTTCTACTTCCAAAGCCAATAATTTTTCCTTGATGTTTCATGGGCTTGTCTGAAGTGTTTTTAAGATCATTCTCCGTTAACATTGGCATTCCATTTTCTATGCAAAGATTGAACGAGTTTGAACCAAACTAGTATCATTTGTTCAAAGACCACACACATACCTCTCGTTGTCAAAGCATCTTGATCAATGACTGATTCTGAGCTTTCTAATACTCCCAATCCTTTGAGAAGATTTGAATTCTTTAAGGCACCCTTTTTGTAAGCTGTCACCATGTTCGAACGTCGTTACTACAAATTAGATACTTTTCCAATCTACAAACCTTCCAATGTTAAATATCCACATTTTTCTTCATCCATTTCATCAAATAATTTGTTAGCATATACAATTGGATCTTGCATTGTTTTTGATCCCAATCCCAAAGAGGTCAACACTTTATACAGTGCTGTGATCACTTTTTGCAATTCTTCTCTACTTAATTTTCCATCATGGTCCAAATCAATCATTGAAAATGCAAATTCTATTTTCTGTTCCACGCTTCCTCGTGACAAGATTGCCATGGTTGCTAAAAACTCTCTATAATCAATGGTTCCACTGTTGTCTTTATCAAAAGCTCGAAATAATATTTTACCTAAAACCAGATCGGCATCGGATTGATTGTCGGAATCATTCAATCTTCCTAAACAATTGACAAATTCATTGAGACCAATATTACCACTCTTGTCGATGGCTGAAAATTCCTCAGAAAGTTGTTTTAATTCTTCCTTATCAACTATGTGTGATGAGTATAGTGAGTTGGGTATTGTTCCATGTCAGTATTTCATTATTAATGTGTCACACAATTATGTAAAAATTTCATTCCATTGTCAGTTCAAATCATTGGTTCATTGCACCAAATAATTTTCAATCGTGTATATGGAATGCAATGATTGGAATCGAACGTGTAATACACATTCCAAATTCATGTCAACTAACTTTTCAGCATGAGAGCGGGATTAAACTTACATGAAGTTACAGATCCTTCTTCTTTTCTCTTTTCCTTCTTCTTTCTTCCTCCTAATAATTTACTTGGTAACAAGGAGGGTATCGTTAAACCAAGAGGAGTAGTACTCTTCATGTCATGACTTGTCGTTTCTTCGTTCATGGCTTTTTCTTTCAGGTGACTGGCCAATGAGTGAGCCTTGTTGAGAGATCCTCCTTCCGAGTGCTGATCAGCAGCATGGTCATTGAACGTACGATCGTGAACAAAGGATCCATTTTCGGAAGCTTCAACATTCAATGACCAACGGTGTAATTGAGGAGGTGGGCCATGTTCTTCCAAACTCGTTGTACTCAGAGCAGCATCTGAAAAACTGATACCATGATGATCGGCACCCGTTTCTGGTGAAGTGACCCTTCTATTGGAGCGAAAGGAAGGTGGACATACACTGCTTTCACTTGGGCTTTGAAACATTTTTTTTGTGTTGGGGAAAGTTGACATTTCCCGTGAAAAAGGAAAATGGTTTACAAACTCGCCAAAATGGTTCTTGTATTATTTGCATTATTAATGGACGCCACTACCCTTTCACAACAATTACTTTTTCTTAGCCTTGACTGGAGCAGGTTTTCCTCCTCGGCCAATATTAGACTTCTTAATTTCTTTCTCCTTTCTCTTTTGTGAGACTTGTTGCACACGCTCAATATTAGCAAATATTTCCTTCCAGAATGGATGATTTTCGTCATCAATTTTGTATACATCAAGCTCAGCATCACGAGGATTGACTCTGTTAGGATGCATGTGTGTGCGCTTACCAGGTCGAATTGGACTTGGCATTTCCACTCCTCCTTCAGAATCTACCTTCTTAACGTATGCTCCAAATCTGTGCATGAGTTCCATCTTGGATTTGAAATCTAGAGTGTCGTTTTGACCCAAAGCACGTGAGTAGTTGGTGAGTACAAGTCTAGCTACAGTGTCTGGAGCGGTATTGGACTCAATAATTTCATCAAAGTTTCTTTCAAGTGGAGCAAATTTGGCATATTTTCCAGTTTTACCTGCATGATGATACAGACCACTGGAGAATGGAACGTCTCTGATATAAGCCAACGTTTCAAACTTTGGTTCATAAACAAATCTTTTCAATAGATACACTCTTTGTCTCACTTTTTCAAAGAGGGTTGACACGTGGTTCTTCAATGGAAGGCCTTCGTAGTCTGCCATATACGCTTGAACAGCTCTAGATATTTCTTTTTTCCTTTCAACTGGATTTTCCTCATCTCCATAATAATAAGCATCCTCATGGTCGAAATCTTCATTTGGTTGTTCAAGTTTAAATCGGTTATCAATGGCTATCCTATTCAAACGCTTCTTTGACAGTAACTCTTCAATTCTTCCATTTAAACTTTGGAATGTGTCTTCTTGGTACATTTTATCTTTAGAAACAAAGGTATGTAAATTATCTCTGGTAATTCCATATTTAGTTTCCAACTTGCGTTCTCTCTCTTCAATGAAATTTCTCTCAGATTCTGGAAGATATGGAATAGCCGCTGATCCTCTTTTTCTTACGACTGTATCAAAACAGTCCTCTGCCATACGTTTGATGGTTTCAGGTTGCAACAAGACGCCAACAACACCTCCAATTTGTAAGGTGAAAAGTTTGCTATTGAAGTAGTCCAACAGTTTTTCAGCGAGCATCGATGTTGAAATTTCTTGTTTGTATGGCTCCAACACTTGTGGAGTAAGTTGTCCTTCTTTGGACAATCGTTCCAAATCTTTGGCAGCCTTTGTCTCAACAGCCTCCATGTTCACAAAATAATCAGGATCGAATAAACTATACAGAGTTGCTCTTGTTTCTGGCTTGTCAAAATTGTCCTCAAGTTCCTTTCTGGAAGTAGTTTCAAGAGACGAAGATTCAGCCAATAATGGGTAGATTTCTTGAAGTTCAGTAGCTCTCTCCTTGTCCTCCATGCTCTCCAAAATCTTTCTTGCAAGATTTTGATAATTTTTCATATAACTAAAAAGAAATTCGTACTGCTCATCTCTTACAAGGTTTTTAGCAAGCAGTTGTTTCATCATTGGAGTAAAGTTTGATCCGTGCTCAGCTCCCATTTCAGATAATGTAGGAATTAGGCCTCTTTTAGAAAGAAGAGCCTGTTGCTCTGCAAGTAACCGAGGGGTAGTACCAGTATACATTCTGTCAAGATACTCTGCATATTTTTCGTTCATCTCAATATCTACTTTGAGGATATCCTCTTCATCCTGGGTCTTTTTTCGCATTTGGAGCGATTTGTTCGACTCAGCTCCCTCTTCTGATTCCTCAGATTCAGATCCTCTTTTTCTTTCTCTCTTTTTAGCACCCTTCTTTTTTGTGCTTGCCGCTTTTTCACCTGCATTTGGTGTTTTCTTTCCTTCGAGTCTTCTTAAGTATTTCTTCTTTTCAATTTCTTCACTCAATGCGCTCTTGTCTACAAACGTTGATGGTTCAACTAAATCTTCTTCCATTACAATAGCATCATCATCAACAGGTGCAGTAGTACCACTCGATTCTTCACTATTCTTGTTAAGTTTCTTTTGAAGTTCCTTGAGTTTTTGAGCCTCTTTTAACAAGTTTTCTGCTTCCTCTTTTGAAATTGTTCGTTTAGCTTTGGGTGTGGCTGAAGTACCAGTACTAGTAGATGGTGTGGTGCCAGTGGTTGGACTTGTTTGTTCACCTTCTGTGGTTCTTGGTTTGTAGTAGGGTTTCTTGACGTATTGTGTACTTTGGGTGGTTTGTTGTGTTCGTTGGTATGGTTGTTTGGTACCTCCTTGTTGATTACTGAATTGTCTTCTCTCTCCTTGTTGTGAGTTACTATTGTTGAATCTTCGTTCACCACCTCCATATTGCTGTTGTTTGTTTTGTTGTCTATCATAGTTCTTCACAAAAGGTTTACGTTCCCCTTGTGGCTTTCTGTCAGAACTTGATGGAGATGACGAAGACTGGCTTTCATCGGCACATTGAATAGAGCACGAAGAAAAATGTCTTGAAGTATTATGATGATTATTGAAAATTAAATTTGATGAAGTATGTGTTGCTACCATTCCAGAGGGTGTTGTTGTTGATGATGATGATGCAGAGAACAAGAATTTACTCATCACCAACTTGTTCGACCCTCGCGAGCAAGGATTGAGCAAGGTCGCATAGAGTCTCATTTTTTCAAAACAAAAAAATATTGATTTACAACAGCAATTATTATTAATATTATTATTATTATTGTTTATATTGAGTTGATATTAATTATAATAATATTACTTGTTGTTTCTTTTAAAAAGTGTCCATATATTCTTCAATACATTGTTTCTTTTGTCCTCTCCGATTGGTTCAATATTATTCTCTTGTTCATCATCAAGAACGCATGGATGTGTTGGTTTTAATTTAATGAACCATCCACCTTGCACTGCTTCATCCTCAGTCTTTGCTCCCACGCTACATATCCAACCACAGTAGCCTCCACCTTGGAGCTTGATGACCTTGTCATCATTGGTCAATTGGGAACTTCCATTACTCATGTATCCATTATGGTGGAAGGAAGCATCAAAACTGAATGGAGTTCCTGTCAAATCACACAATGCATTGGCATCGTCCATGTGAGGAGCTTCACATCCAAAACAAGATGCATAAGGTATTTGTGTTTGATTGACAGTATGATGGGAGCAATGCCCAACTGATTTTGCAAATCTAAAATCCCCCGTATGGACATTTAAGGTTGAGGGATCTACTCGAATCTTGTACCATGTAGTATAGACATCTGTGTCGTTGGCAGACCATGGCTTTCTTGAAGGAATCTTGTACATGGAAATATTTCTATCAGGATGTGGCAAAGTCAGATAGAAATGATTGGGAGCACCTTGATAAAAAGTGAATGGGCCTAAGCCACAAACGTGAATTTCTTGTAAACGGTATGACACGCAAATTTCAAAGAAGCGTTTACATGTTAACATGAAATTTCTCCAAGAGTGATCATCATCCTCAATCATCATGAAAATTGACAATAATATTTCATCAGGTAATCTGTTGATGGATCCATACTTTTGAATGTACATCATGTAGTCAATCACGTCACTCATGGAGATTTGTTTTAATTCTGCTAATGAGATGGGTAACGCATTTGAATTGCCACAGGTACTGCTGCTCCCTACAATATAATCCTCACCTCTCTCCTCCATTTGTATTGCATGATTAATCACTTTTCGCGAAACAATATTATTGGAGAGCAATGCTTGTGCAAGCAGAGGTATGACTTGTTTCATTTTTATTGAGGAGGGTCAAGAAAAACTAAAAGGAGTCCAAATATTTGATGTTACTATCCTTTTATTATTATATGCCGATGATATTTTATTGATAGCTAATACTAAGATTGAAATGAATTCCTCTCTTAAAAGCCTCGGCCGAGAGTTAAAGAAAATAGGACTCGCTTTAGCTCCCAAGAAATGCAAGCTCTTAGCTATTACAGCTAAATCTAAACTATCTAAAGCCCTAGTCACTATTGGACAGGATACAATTGCCTCGTCTACTTCTATTGAATACCTTGGGGGTATATGTACCTTTAAGGATAATCTTTCTTGGTCCTCTGATAACCCAGTCAACAAAATCTCGAATCGACTTGCATCAGCTAAAACTTCTAATCTATATCTCAACAGTATCACCACTACAATTATGTCTAAAATTATATCATTGCCTAGATATGCCTGTAGCTTCAATGGAATCAGTAAGAATTCTCTAGACAAAGCAGATATTATGGTTGCTAATTTTATCAGAAAGGCTATTGGATTAGATTACACATTATCAAAATCAGTCGTTTTTAATTGCAAACAAATTGGGGGTCTTGGTATTACTCGCCCCTCTATTTTATTCTCTATTGAACCTATTTGCACAGCAGTTAGATTATTCAATTCCTCATCCTCCATCACCAAAAATATAGCTTTGGCTGCTTGGAAAGATACTACTTTTAACGAACCATTTTGGAACCACGTGAAAAATATTGCTGCTCAAAATAATTGGTCTCTCCAATACATTGATGAACGATATTCATTTGTCAATGAATACGAAACCCCTGTCGACCCTAGAACTGAATTGCTAAACAGTGATAGATCAACCATGAGCATTTCTGGCCTTGGAACCTTAGACCATAATAGAATCTGGCATCCATGTACCATCTCCTTTTGGAACAATTATTCACTCAAACCATTCCAGCAACGACTGTTATTTGCTCACCTGCACAAAGCAGAAATCCTTAGAAATTTCGGAAAAGATTACCCTAATTGCCACATTTGCAACACCAAAGCCAACTGGGAACATGTATTCACCTCATGCGCCATGTGTAGCCCAGAAATCAAATCATTATACACAAAATGGGACAATAGTTCCCTCAAATTCAACGCCCCGCTTGTCAGACTTCCCTCTAACCATTCTCTCTCTTGTATTCCAATGGAGTGGAATGGTAGTATCAAAGACGAATCTCTCCAACAACTAGACCTATCTCCCCCAGCCTTGACTGATTGGCTAAATGAAATATATCTCTCATTCGCTGCTTATGTTGGCAGTTGTTACAAAAACGCCACTTGGAACAGTTCTACTGTACTCAAGAAGGCTAGAGGATATATAATTAAACCCAAAACTGCAAAATTTGCAACTGCTTGGGAAACATGTAGCAATCAGCTTGGCGAACTCAACTCCGACAACATTTAAACCCCACACATACACACCCATTAGACACACTCTCGTCGGACAATTGAGTACCTATAATTTGTTTATTCTTCAATAAACCCATCCCTGTATTTTTATTGAGGAGGGTCAAATGGACAAAGTTCATCATGAAACTGTTCCAAATTGGGAACCATAAAGGATGACCTCTCAACTACTGGATTGAGTGTACGACTGGAGGACCAGTTGTGTCCAAGCTAGATGCCACATTTTGAACGACATGTTGGCATGCAGATATTCCTTCAGACAAGGACTTGCACGTGTTGAGGATGGTGTTCCACGTTTCATCGTTTTTCTTTGGTTGTGCTGCCATGACGGCTTTGGACTCCCTAGCTTTTTTGAAAAGCATCTTTTTCTTTTCATGAAGGTTTTTAAGTTGTGACAACTCCAAATCCTTTTCTTCCACAATTTTGGAGAGCCTGTCGTTTACGCAATTCAATCTTGCAATTTCAGATGAGCTTTGACTGACGCTTTCGAATGCAGTTCGAAGATGTGACAAGTCATTCTCAAGCCTGCTGTTTTCACTTTTAAGTTTCTCAATGGTTTCTGCCGCAGTAAGTTTCATTTCATCAAGAGAATGTTGAAGCTCTTTTTGCTTGTTTGATTCTTCTTTTAACTTTCGTTCGTAATCCTTTTCGATCATGGACAACTTTTGTTCCAATACTCCATTACTTGACTCAATATCCTTTATGAGATCTAGACTGAATTTTTCTGATTCATTTGACCGTTTCAGCTCATGAATCATTCTTTCTATTTCTAAGGAATGTGTCGAGTTTTTCTCCTCAATTTCCTCCTTCAATCGTTTGACTTGTTCAAGTAAAATATTAATTTTCAGGTCACTCTTTTGAAGTAGATTTTCATATCTTTCCAACTCGGCATCGTATTCTTCCTCCAACTCTTCGCTTCGTTTTTGATATTTTGCATAACTCTCACTCAGTACTTGCAAATCATGACAAGTTTCTAAATATTTTCGTTTATAATAGGTGGCTTCATCTTCTTTGGAAGGAAAATTCGTTTTAGCATTACCTGGTGTTTGAAAATTGCTCTCACTTTCTCTGTTGTTTGAAGGAGTAGTCACCACCGTTTCTGTAATGTTCGAAATTGTCCCCGTTAAGGGACTTGTTGAGCGTCTTCTTCTTCTTCTGTTCCTTTTTGTTTCACCGATATTCATCAAGCTTTGTTCCTCATCTTCTTCGTCCTTTGATTCAGCATAGGCCAATCTTGCATTTGAACGGTTTAATTCATCCATCAGATCCTCTTTCGAGAGGTTGAACCCTTCCACTTGATCCTCTTCTGGTGGACTGTTAATGTCAATAATTTCATCTTCCTCGTCTGACTCGATATTCTCTTCCAACTCTTCTTCGTCATCATCTTCTTCGTCGTCACCAGAAAGATTTCCCGAGTAACTACTTGCTTTTAAGGTTGGACTGGTGCCTCGAAATCCGTGTGAGGGAGGTGGAGATTTTGATTTTGAAGGAACCACTCGCTGTTGAGTCGAATGATCGATCAATATATTCAATTCCTCCTCATCATCGTTCAACATGTTCATACCACTCACATCTTCATCTTCTGTTGAAACATCCGAAACAACTGGTTGATATCGAGGAGAAAGGTGGTGTGGAGTCAGATGATGTATGATGTTATTTACAAGAGCACGGGAAGGAGATGCCAGTCGTTCCGAGCCATGATGCAATAAATTATCAATATTGAGGTGCATGTTAGGAGGATGATATTGAGCTCTAGGAGATAGTTGTAGTAATTTAGAGGGTGAGGCTGAAGCTGTAAGAGGAGAGGTGATAAGTGTGGGAATTAAGGGATTGAGAGGTTTTGGGGTCGTTGATGATAACGATGGCGTATCTCTATGAATACCATTGTTGAGATCCTTGCTGCTCTCACTCGCTTGTGCAAGAGTTGATTCTTGAAGAGGAGTTGTTGCAACGTTGGATGAAGTCTCTTCCATGCTTATTTGTTGTTGAGGAGAGTTGTGATGATCTTCGGAAGAAGGAGGTGATGCAATATTGATGGAGTCCATGTCATCATGGAAATGATTCATTATCACCTCCCCAGTTTCCGAAGATTCTTCATCACTGGAAGATAAATCTTCTTCATAATCCATGTTGTGGTTGTTCGTGATCATCCTGGGAGCTGCTAGTATTCTACCTGTTTGAAAATAACGATGATCTTGTGCTACTCGGATTGATACAATCTCATAAAGTTTGTTGTTTCAAGCGATGGCTTTTTTATGATTTGAGGAAATTCGTAAACGTTGGTTGATGGAGATACGATTCATCGCCTTTGAATCAAATCCAAACTGCAACAGCTGTTATGCTGTTGAACTTGTATGCGAAATTAGCTCATCAAAAAGTTTACATAAAAACAAAACACATTCTTAATACAATTATCAAAATTATTTAATGTTCTTATTTACATTGTTTTCTAGCGATTATTATAGAAACTTAGAATTAGCAGAAAAAGTTAAGTTGTTCATCTTCTTCATTCACAAGAGGCATATCAAACATTTGAATGGAATCAATGATTTCAGCCATTTCCTGATGTTGCATGGACATGATATCTTCATCAGTAGATAAATGAACAAAGTTTTGTTGTACAGGATTCATCATTGGATGGTTTTGATAAACGTTAGAGGTATACTGTGGTTGCTGATGCATGTTTGAAGTGGCAAACTCCTCACAAAAGATTTCATCTAGCGTTCGTTTTAAGGCTCTGTTGTCACCTCCATAATTAGAATGAGAAGTGGATTGGGATGGAGCTTGATAATATTGAATTGGTTGGTATGAAGACTGTTGCGTTTGGAATGTGGATTGTCTTCCGTATTGCTTTTGGAAATCCATCTCAAGAATGTGATTCTTCATCAAATTGCCAACATTGCTGTTTCCAGTATTTGTTGTTGAGGTGTGATTGTTCCAAGATGTGTTATCAATGGTATAGGTTGGTGGTGGATTATTCATCATGTTTGCCATCATGGATGCCAATGTATTGCTTGATTGTTGGTTTGAGGAAAGCGTTGTATTCGAGTAGCTAGTTTGTGGAAGTCTTTGTGAAGTATGGTTTGCAAATTCCATGCCAAGTGGAACTGTTCCTTGAGACAGAACGCTGTTTCGTGTAGTGTTGTTACTATTATTGATTGGTCTCTGTGCGTTGAAAGGATTGCAGTTGGTGGACGAGACATGTGGTTGGTGATATTGTTGTTGTTGTTGAGGTTGTTGGAATTGATGAAGAGAGGTTGTCTTGTGATACATATTGTTGTTGTTGGCAGCCAAGGATGACGACGAGACTCCAACAAAAGTACTTGGTGCTCCTCCAACCGTCGAGATTTGCTTCTCTTCCTTAACACTTCCTTCTAGTTGAGTCTTTCTCAGTTTGGTCTTGTTAGCATCGTTTTGGATGGCGTTACTGCTGCTTCTCACTCTTCGCTTCTTGTTGGTTGGTGAGGATGGTTCTTGTGGAACAGGTCTTGAAGTTGGTTTGTTGTTGGCAGATGTGACGCTCGAGGTGTTTGTTGTTGCTGTGACAGTTGCAGAGGAGGCATCAAATGATTGAACACGGTCAATAATTTGATCGATCAAGTCATTATCCATGGACTTTCTGAACATGTAGGCATTCTCAATACCGTACTTGTTGTTTCCTTTACCTAACGAATTTCTCTTGGCCTTAATCATGAGATAGTAATGCTCTTCTGTCTTGGCAGCATCATTATCAGTCACTACGAATGGTATCACAAAGAGTTTCACTGTTCCATTACAACCTTTGCCATGACTCTTCACTCTGAATGCCACCTTAGGTGGTTGATTTGAGTTCAAGGTTGTGGTTGTGGTTGCTACTGAACATGTCTTGGAATTATTTCGTGTACCATTACACGATACAACTGAGACCTTATCATTCTTTTTAACTGAACTGAATGTTATTGGAAGAATCTTCTTGATCAAGTGACTTGCACAAACAACAGTGGAGGAAAGACCTTCTTCAGCCAAGTACACACTCACTGACTTTTCTGTTTGAATGTCAAGCGAAGTATGTTCTGTACTCTTTCCTAACAATGAAATCTCTACAGAGTTGTTGTTAATGTCTGTTCTCTTCTTGGTATAAAGTTGGAATGGTGACAAAATTTTAGTGAGCTGGATGGATGGAGTTTGAGAGTTGTTAGTGCTTGAATCGTCAGAGTTATTGTTACTCGATGATCCATTGAGCATGTCTCTGAGGAAGAGTTCTTGTCTTTGAGTAGTCATGGTGGTGTTCATGGTAATTGTGGTTGGGTTATGGTTGTATTGCATAAAGATGGATGAGGGAGGTGATGAATGATTTGGTTGATCTTGTCAACAAGAGTTAATACAGGTTGGAGAATGATTACAGAGCTAGAGAGAATGTCTAGAGAGAGGTAATTGGAGATATCAATGCTCAACGACAAGTATCGCTATTTCTTTGAGAAAAAGTACAAAATGCAAAACAAAGTCGTTGTAGAAATAAATGATGATTCGCCACAGATTTGTCACTCACTCTCAGTTATCAAGCTGTGTAATTGTTAATGGTGACTGATGAATGTAATATTTTGAGAGGTAATGAAGTGATCCACAAAGTGTTATTACTCTCAAAAGTGAGGGGTTATTGAAAAGGTTGTCTGACAGGGCGGGAACAAGCACAACGTAATTACGATAGTTGAGTGAATGAGTGGTTGCGCCTCTAGAGGATTGAGTTTTACAACTGACAATTGAAATATTATGTCAGTTAGAGCGGTTATCAGATAGAACCGTTAGAGAAGGATGATCAAAGTGATGCAAAGTGTTGTTACTAGTATTTTCGAACGTTCCGTAAAGACTGGACGAATGGCCTGGATGAATTCTTTACGCTGGTGATGATGATGCTACAAGAGACGCGATTCAGAGAGTATGTACAATAAATAGAAATGATAAATATCTCTCTCGAAAAGTAAAAGTCTAGTTTGGCTAAATTACAATGGTTGGATAATCAACCGATGATGATAATGAAATAGAGATAAAGAGAGCGGAATCAGTAAAATCTTCAGTGAGAGAATTATGTGCGGACAAGGAACTACCAAGTAAAAACAATGAAACAAAATGCTTTCGACAATGATGAGAACAATGCTATTACTAATGATGATAAATTGCACACAACCGCTATTGTTGTTGTCCTTGTGTGTTAAACTCCTCAATCCAAACCTCGTCAAAGAATATTTTTTAAAAATTTGATTGTGTGATAAAGACAACCTAGGAGCAGAAGGAAGCAGGTATACCGCATGAGTAATCAGAAAATAAGTGCGGTCAAAAATAAGACGTTTATCTACCATCGAAAAATACCGTCGATTAAAATACTGCTGGACGAATACGGATGGAGAATATCCCTGGTTAAAATACTGATGGATATTAACCATGGCATCAAGGACGACATAATACAACAGGGCAATTACATGTGCATAATACTGGTCATCAAAATACCGTCGGAAAAGTAAATGAGGAAAATACTGACCGACGAATATATGACATATTTTACTGCTCGACCAATACTGTCGGATGAAATACCACTGGCAAGATATGGACGGAAAATAATATTGACAAAATAATGATTGAAATTAATTATGATAACAACGACGGACAATACCTTCGGATTGGTTCGGATGAAAGTACCACGAATTATTTTCATCGATACTTTGTTGAATAAGACTTGTTGATTTTTGAAATATTTAGAAAATTAATATTTATTTACAAAAATTATAACAAAATGCAAATTGATTCAATTGCCACTTTAACCCAGATGGCAATGAATAGCAAATACAGCTACATTTAGACTTGACTTTGCTGATATCTATTGCTGATAGCATTAGTTGTGGAATGCATTTGAGGTGATACATATAGGAAACATCTCTAAATGGAAAAAATCAATTAAGGCTTTGTGAAATGCATCCACAGTATTAGGATATTTTAAAAAAGGATTATCTATGATATGCAGAGCAGGTAATTCTCGCAATTTTTGCGTTATTTTCGCTTTAGATAATTTCAAATCTTTGAATTGCATTTCTTCCCATATTAAGGGTTTAAAACCCTTGTCCTTTGTTCTGTCATTTGATCTTAAATCGATGCTATTAATAACAGTGTTTGCTTCAAATATATTTCTTTTCTCGAAATGCGTGACATACTTTGGATCTTCTATCGTAGACGCTCCAAATAAACAATCTGGTGTTTTATGTTGATTATCATAAATTCCTTCACAACGGCTACATTCTTCTTTCATGAGTTGCAAGGAATACATCTTCTCGACTGTGTCCCATAAAAACTCTGCAACAACAATCTGAAATTTTCTAGACTCACCTGTAGAGGGATCTTCTATTTCAATTATCTCCCCATCAAGGTGATTAATTTCTTTCATCAAATGGCTTGTCATTGTCCAAAAATCGCAGTGAGTTTTTGAGAACCCAAGTAAGCTTATAGATTCAAGTTTTCTCATGTAGTCGCTATTGAAATTCAACAAACTTGAATACACTCCACATGTTGATGTTGACTTTGTTCTGAATTTACAAAATCGTCCACATATATCAGCATCACAAGAGGGAATATATCACTTTGACACTTCTCCAAAATTTTGTTGAATATTTTAGATTGAAATGGTTGCTTGGTTGCAAACTGTTGTTGATGCTTTTCTCGGTTAAGACATAATTGGTTGACCAAATACGGATCCATTAACATGTTTCGAATAGTATCTTGTACAGAGTAAAGGATGAAATTATCATTGAACTGCATGGGTTTTTGGGGGTTCAAATTATTTCCTCTTGCTTTCAAGGTATCATAGCTCACAAATAATTTCATCAACTCAGGACGGTCTTTAAATGTTGATTTCAGCATTTGAATCATGAAATTATTTAGAAATTCCAAAGTGATTGATTAACATAAAACAACATAATTCTTCAAAACTTTCAAAAGGGTGATCTTTAGGGAAGTGAAATTCTTGTTCATGCTCGCACGAGTGATTTGATACATATGGCATAGATTGTTTTAGTTTCTCAAAAAATTCAAATATTGGAAATGGTGTTTGTACTAAATTCTGCACGTCAGCAGTGAGAGCTTCTAAGTTCATCAATAAACCACCAATATCACAGCCTTCCTCCATAACAACCACTCCTGTCGTTTTCTTGTTGTTTTTTTCGTCATCCAATTTATCCTCATGTTTGCGTTTTTTTAAAAACGAACACAAATGACCACAATGATTTTTGATGATATGAGAATAATAATGATCAAACTCTGTCGTTTGTTCGGAGCAACACTTGAAAACGGGGTTCTGAGCTTCATCTTTGTTTGAACATCTTTTCATGTGTTTTAAAAAATTGGATGCATGAGAGTCGGAGAAGCAATCTTTGCAAAAAGGGCAAGTGAAGTAAGTTGTGCCGCATGAAAAACAAGTGCATTTGATAGAGGGATTCAAGATTTTACACTTTGCCGAATTATGGATATACAATTCCAAATCATGTACATTGCACTTGTGACACATTCTTAAGGAAACCACGTCAAAGATTTTGGATTCGGCCTTGTTCTGAAGCATGATATTTTTTTTTGTAAAGAAAACGCTTCCTGTGCGCGCTCGATCTGAACTCGCTTACAAAAACTTCTCTCCAATAGTTTCAAAGTTGACCCGTTTAAATATTTTCAAAAATCAAAACAAAAAAAAACCAATCATAATGCCAACTGACACTGTAAGGGGTATCAAGAAGAAACGTAATCGAAAAAACATTTCTTATATAGCTCCATCATTGAATATAACACTTTTTCAAGAAAGCAAGCAATTCTTAACTCAGAACAACGCAAGGTTTGTTTCATGTCAATATTTCTTGGTGATCATTTCTTTCCATGAAGCATCAAACAATGTTGTAAATTGAAATTTCATTCATTTCTCTCCCAAGTAAGTTGTAATGTTCCTATAAATTTTAATTCTTCAGATCTGTTCTAATCCCCAAACACAAGAGCAAAAGCTTCAACTTTCAGACAGTGGTTACTCATGTTAAAACATTTTGTTCAAGTCTTCCAAACTATAGTATTCTTTCAGATTGTGATAAATCCCAGGTAGATGAAATAGTAAGTTGTGTTTGTTATTTGTTTGACTAAATTTCACAACAATCGTTTTTAGTTGATAAAGATATGCAGGAAACATATAAGTCAAATATTTGTGAACGCAAAAAAGAAGGCGAAACTTCGTAGAAGATCTGGAGTCTCAAAAAGCAAAAATTCAGACAACCTTTTTGACTTTGAAAACGACGAAGATGTATATGACATCAATTCTGAGGAATATAAATTGTATCAAGAGCATTTACGTAAATCATCATCAGCGAAAATGAGACGCTCAAAACCTGTCAACCCTGCCAACGTTGTTGAGTTGTAAATTATGATGCCAATAAAATTTAAAATGCATTTGCAATAACAATTTTAAATCAAATATTGAACCAAAAAAATTTCAAATTGAATTAAAATAAAATAAGAATATTTCCATCATTATTATCGATAGTAACAGCCACAGGTGTTGTGATAGGTTATTTCAACAGTATTTCCGTCGTTATTTCGTTCATTAAACCTCCATTATTAGAATATTTAACATGATGCTTCTTCCGGCTGTATTTTGTGTCTTGGTGGATTCTTTTCATCAGTAACTCCCGACAGTATTTTTTATCTCGAGTTTTACCGTCGGCTGTACCTACGGAAACAAGCTTGAATCACCTTCGAAATAACAGACCGCAATAAGGAGACACTACTTATGCACAATATGCATTCAATAAGCTTCATTTACTACCGACGATAACTATGTAAAATACAGACGCGATTCTCTGCTCCTAGGAAGAAGGCACAACTCGGGGTGAATCTTGCTCTTTTTTGCTGGTCCCACAAAGGCAGTTGAAACTGTTCTGGGAAGGGCTTGTCCCGTTAAAACGGAGTTTGTTTCTGAAAGAGTGGATGGCAAGATGTGTTGACGTGTTGACCACAAGATTGTCGTCTTTAGAGTTCAGTGTTTGTAACAAGGGTGTTGCCTATCAAGTTCAACGTGTTGAATTGTTGTTGTTTGTATTGATGTTTTTTTGAACTTGTGAAAGTGCTGCGCTTAAAACTTTACAGATTCAGCACAACGTTCGTGGTGTTGTCAAGTGCTGTTGTTTGAAGGCTGAGTGCAAAGACAAACGACATGATGTGTCGTCAAAATTGGATAATTTCCTCACCTTAGATGAAGGATACTTTCATTCCTCTCAAGAAGTGTCAAAACAATGCTTGATGTGCTTGAGGTAAAAAGCAACGTCATTTCAAATTAGCGTCAAATTTTCACTTATTTCACACACATTGTAGAATGATGGCTATTTTGCAACCATTGTTGAGGGGTGAAGGGACAGGTGTTGACAGCGTGGATGTAACGCAACATCGAACCTCATATAAGAATAAATATCGAATGCATATATTATTGAGTTAACAGTTGAAATATTCGTATATATCAAGTGGAAATGTATTCATATGTTCCATTTAACATTGAATATCTCTCTGATAGGAATGGTTATTTTCAAGCACTTTTTAGACTCTAGGTTAATTTTCATCCATTTTCGTTTAGATTAAGCCGTTCATCAATTATAAACATCAATTAACGATAAGTAGTCAACAGACGAGAACACTTATTGTTGACTTGTCACTCGCTTGATGACAATCATTGAGGAATTTGCACCAAATAGATACAATGTCATCCTGTCAAATTGATAGAGTGTTATAGAAAGCACCACAGCTATTGTTGTGGTGGAGTCCAAATAATTTTGTTCTCCCGAATGGAGAAACCTTTCTTTGCCAACAACTCTTCATTGTCCAAAAAGGTAGAAATGTCGAATATTCTGTTTTTAGCGACCTCATTCTTGAATTCCTTAATGGAAATGCTAATTTCAGTGTCGTTTTCCTCGTCTTCATCGAACATTGTAGAAATTTTAGCTTTGACCATCTCATTGAGAATGTGTAACAATAATTGATGGTCATCTGTTGGAGACTGGAGATATCTTTTGAATTTTCGTTTCAAAGAGCCAGCGACAGAGTATTTTTGAGTTGAAATAAAACTTTCCAACATGACAGAGATGGCTGTGTTGACGTCGCTATCAGTGACAGAGGACCTCAAATGCATCTTGGCACTTGCTTCAGCCATTCTAATAATGGACTCCAAATGTCTTGCTGTGATGGTTAAACCACTTCCTTCTTCAGAACGAGTTCTCAACTCTGAATAAAATTGAGTAATTTTCTCATGGTTGGCAAGAGCAAGAGAAGGACGTAGTCTCTTTGCAACAATGATGTATTTCTTTAGCATTTCTTGAGGTATTGGATCTCTATTTTGGAGATATGCTTCATCATCCTTCTTTCCATCTCTTTCATCAAGAAGTTCTCGTATGGCAGCTTGTTGCTCTTGAGTTTTTCTAATAGCAGCTTGTACGGGATGGTTTTTGAAGTGACTATTCACAACAAACAGTGCCAAGTTTTCGTCAATTTTTTCGTCAACTATATCTCTTACAATGAAAAGAATGTCAAATCGAGAGAGAATAGGTTCTGATAGTTCAACATTCTGATGGAATGTTTTGGATGTATCATATCTCCCTTTGATAGGATTGGCTGCAGCAATGACAGCACATCGAGCCTGAAGTGTAGTGACAATACCTGCCTTTGAAATTGAGATACTCTGTTGTTCCATGGCTTCATGGATAGAGGTTCTATCTTGGTCATTCATTTTGTCGAACTCATCAATCATACAAACTCCTTCATCGGCCAGCACTAAAGCACCTCCTTCGAGAGTCCATTCACCAGTAATTGCATCCTTCTTGACAGCAGCTGTTAAACCTACTGCTGAAGAACCTTTACCTGTTGTATAAACTGCTCGAGTGGCTGTTTTTTCAATATATTTCAAAAATTGAGATTTGGCTTTTCCTGGATCTCCTAGAATAAGTACATTGATGTCACCTCTTGTAGTGTGTTCTGCTGAAACTCTTCGAACTCCTCCAAATAAACTCAAAGCAATACCTCTTTTGATATCTTCATGGCCAAAAATTGAGGGAGCAATGGATTTCACAAGTTTCTCGAAAATGTAAGGATTTCTGGCCAATTCTTGCAGTTTTCGTTCATCTTCTTTAGTGATGGCCTCATTTCTCTTGTCAAATAATTTCTCAACGTAATTCGCTTCAATTATTGTCGCAAAGACTGGAAATCCTTGTTTAACATTGAGGAAAGCATCATAATTTTGTTTAAAAACTCCTACTACAATGACTTCTTCTCCAGGTCTTGCACAATCAATTAAATCGTTTGTTAAAATTACATCTTTGGATCGAGGAATTCTTCCTGCGGGGACAGTACCTGGTGGCTCTTGAATGGTAATCTTTTGATAATTGGAGTAGAGCGTCTTGGCTTCATTAATGACAAAACAATTCTTTCCTGCACAGCCAGGGCAGCTGGATGGCTTTGCAACTTCGGAGGCACTTCGAACAGTCACAGGATTCAATCGTTCACCACACTTGACACAATCATAGGATACAAGTTTTAGCTGAGGGAACATGGCAGTTCTTCTTGTGATCACTCCTCGAACAGCGATCAATTGGTTCAAAGTAGAATGTCTGAGGTCTCGAATGGATTCAACAGCTGGCAGATTCTTGATACGAACATGAATTATTTCGTCCTTGTCAAGAGTAAAACCAGCATAATTTGGGAAATATCGATTGACAATTTGTCTGAGAGCTTCTTCCATAATTTCAATGATTGCATCAGGTTCCTCTGTAAGGAATATTAACAGAAATGGCTCTACTGAAAGGTCAGAAAAGTTGACAACAAGAGACTTCTTGTTATTGGCCACCACATTTTTGATGGCTTCCATATAGACATCCTTTTTTTGTTCCGTGAAAAACTTCTTGAATGCTTTCACGATTCGATCTCGCTTTTTGCTGATGGTCAGCTGTTCTCGAAGATTGTTCAATAAATCTTCGAACCGACCATCATTTTCATCTTCATCATCGTCATTGAAGGCATCATTATTTTCTTCGTCATTGTTTTCGTCGTCATTGAACAAGGTGTGAAAGACGGCATTATCAGCGGCACTCCAACTTTTTCTTTCATTTCTCTGGAGTGCCTGTTCCACTTCGTTTTCCGTTTCCTCCTCCGCTTCTCGGTTTTGCATTTGCTCTTCAGCTCTCATTCTTTCATGATAACTCATGGGCTGATATTCTTCGTTATCAATGTATTGTTCATCATAAAAATCCTCTTCATGGGGTTCGGCTCGATAATCTTCTTCTAAAACATCATCGGCAAATAAATCTTCTCCTTCATCGTTCTCATCTTCGTCATCGAACGGAATTTCATCTTCAAACATGTCTTCTTCTTGTGTTTCTCGTGTGTTGTCATCAAAACCGTTGTTTGACATTTTTTATTTTTTTGAATTTCAACAAATAGCGTTGGCGGAATGTGAAGTGGCGGGAGTGAATTTCATCTTTCCACTCAATTTTTCTTTGCAATTTATTAATGAAGGGCTTTTTTTGATCTTTCAAATAATCTCACTTGAGTATTTGAGAGAAGACATGTGGTCTGTCTGGTCTCAATGACATTTTGATTACAATCTCATCGCTTAAAAAATGAATCTTCATGTGTGGTCGTTAGTAGCACCAACCACTTCAAGGATCATGTGCCGCAAGCAACAACAACCACTCGGTGCAATCATGATGGTGGCGCTCTTGGCTGTTGTGATGATCATGTCATCATCATGTGCCGCTGAGTCGCTTGTTCACGCTCCAACGAATCATCACATTACTATTCAACAAGTTGCATTTCAATTAACGGAGAGTGGTTTTTCAATGAGATTCAAAGCCTTGGATCGATCAAGCCAACAAGTGCATGAAGGAACGGCGATTCGATATAAAAATGAAAAAACAGAATCGTTGAATGTGATTTTGGAGAGCGGAATTTTGGGAATGATGACATTCTTTGATTCGAGAAGTTTACATGCTTTTATGAAACCTGTTCAAGAGGGTGGTGTGGAAATTTCACAACATATAGACAAGTCCAATGGTGTCACTCAATGTATTCACATCAATTATGACGCTCCTTGGAATGCTTTTGATAATGGAATGGGATTGAGCAAAATGTTGAACAAGGTTACTTTCAAAGCAGTTCCTCCAAAGAGTGTCACATTTGATAAGGAAGTGAACACTCATTGTGTCAACAACAAGCTTGACATGTATTCATTTTCGTTTATGGATGAAAGTATGGTGTTATGTGCCAATGGAACCACTCCAGTTTTTATCATTTCCAAGTCATTGGTTGTTTCTATTAGTGAATTCACACTCACTGAAGAGAAGACTGGTTTTTCTGCTCAACCAACATTACACGAAAAGCTGTTCTTGGATCAAATGGATCACCTTGTTTCAAATTGTACCTATTACGACAGAAAATATCTTGCTGAATATTTTGGTAAGAAAAATATTCACGCCAAGCAAGATACCACTGCAAGGGATATTCTTGAGAAATATCTCACAAAATATAGAGTGAGCGCAAAATATGGACTTCCGTTACCAATCATTGAAGAAAAGGCCTCGTATCGTTTGTCATTGGACTCTTCTCAAAGAAGGAGCTCCTCAAACGAAGGCTCATTATGGTTCCTTAATGAACAAGAATCTTGTAGCAGCGGTCACATGAGAGATGAAAAATCATGCGTCTCATATCTCACAAGAAAGTCCTCCGGAGCTGCTCAAAGCAAGCCAACATGTATTTTCCTTCATGGTGCAGGTACGTGTGGCCTTGTTGAATAATTATTTTCATAATTAACTTTCATTCAATATGGAACACCCATTCAATGAACAATAATATTGATTTTACCATTTCAATGAATAGGTGGACAAGAGGATTTACCTCCACAAAAAGATTTTAAGGAATATTGGGGCAACGTTTTGGCTTACACAGATCATTGTGGAGATGTGTGGTTTGGAAGACGTGATACTAAGGTGAGTAACTAGTATGATCGTGCAATGGTGTGAAATGACACTTGCATCAACATCATGGATCTAACAACATGTAGAACAGAGGATGGGATGATGAATCTTTGCAAGATTATTATTGCTCTACTGCATTGTTAGGTAGCGGAAATTCAACCAAGATTCAAAATACTCTTCTCTATACTCACTCAATGGGTAATTTAATCATTGCAGCTGCATTCATGAAAGGAAAATGCTCTATTGATATGTCAACTTCTCAATGGTTTACAATGGGAGCTCCATTTAATGGTTCAGTAGTTTCAAGAACATTACAAAACATCTGTCACGATTATTATTACAACAATTTCCCATTGAATTTGAAGGCTCTCTATGGATTTATTGCAACAGTTGGTGGGTATTGTGTGAAAGGAACACCCAATGCCTATCAAAGCTATATTTCAGTTGAAGAAGGTTATTGTTCACCACAAGGAGTTTGTATTCATGACTTGTATGAACATACTGATCCGTATGACACGGGAAGACTTTGTGGAGATGATCCTATTGGATTGTTGACACATTATAGTATTGCCTTGGAAATTGTACATTGGGTTGCAGATTATGGAACTACTTCCGGTAGGTATTAATGAAATGTTCAGAACAAAATACTAACATTTGGTGTTAAATGAATCGTTTATTCATGAACTTGTCTTTTTTTGAAACTCTCATTATTGAACAGATGGATTTGTGACATTTAAGAGCTGTCAAATGGACGAGGAAAAGAAATTTTCAGATAATGGTCCATCTACGGATTGGTACAAGGCAATGGTCAACCATGCTGATGAAACTTGTAGAAATGGAGATGGATGGTGGGGCTCCGATAGAAAACCATGCTCTTTCTATAAAAAACAATAAATTATTTTTTGCCTCATCATTCAAAGTTTAAGGCGTTGTTCATCATGAAAGAAGAAATAAAAAATGCCCAGAAGGATCATCAAAAGAAAATCCTATTCAACTTGCTTCGAAGCTTCGGAACAGGCACAAGTTTCTGCTAGTGGGAGTTGCAATAAAGAAGAAAATCTACAACATGTAAATGATAATAACGGTGATATAATTTTTGATTTAGTGATGACTGAAAATGATTCCGGCAATATCGGAAGTGATGATCGTCATGGTTCAACAACAGAACATGATAACGAACAGCAATTATTACTACCAACAGCTCTACCAGAAACACACAAAAATTTAAAGAAGAAGCGAAGGTTCCATAAAGCTTCTTCTTCTTCTGCAGAGTCTTCACAATGCTCTTCTAAAACAAGCCCAGAGGACAAGGAAACAGAAAAAATAACATTCACTGCTTGTGAAACAGAACAAATACCACTCCCAATAGTAGAAAAAATTCCAGAAGTTCAAGATCAATTACCATCTCATGATATACAACATGCTCAAGATGAAAACGAAACTAGGGATCAAAATCATGAACAAATATCACTCCCATTAGTAGAAATAACGCCAGAAATTCCATTCGTACCATTAACATTGAATGAATTTTCTAATCAACACAATGAAATGACAAATCAAGAGCAAGCACAACCTGTAACAGAAAGTTCACCATCAAAAAAGAGCAAGAAAATTTATACAAATGAAAGTTCAAAAGAGAATACAGCAGTCAACACTACTAAGAAAGCGTCGAGACCAAGGAAAAAGAAGAGCTCTTCAACTAACGTTGCTGACACGTTAATAATAGACAAAGATAATAAGGTATCCATTGGAGGGGACCTTTACTTAGTTAGGAAAGTGTCTAATTTACATGTTGTGGATTTGAGCAAATATTTGTCGTCGCTCTATTCCAAGAAGGATCTACCAGGACCGCTTCAAGAACTATTGGACAATAATAGATATTTGTTAACTGATGAAAAAGTGAAATTGAACCAAAAAATGTATATTACGTGTACCATGAACGCTATACAAGAAACAACCAAGAAGAAAGTATTACTAGTTCTAAAGGGAGCTGAACATATTGGAGGCAGTACCATACAATGTCACATCTGTAGAGCTCAGGATGGAGCCAAATTGATCTGTGACAACTCTACTCTCTTCAACATACTTCACTTTGTGCAAAAATATAATGTCGGTAAGGAAGAGGTCAACATGAACTTTTCATTTCCTGCCTTGCCCTGTGCAATAAGCATGTGTAAGGATTGTATTGAGACCCACGATCATGGAGATTTCGAATACTATGCAACGAATGGTCATTTTATTTGTCCTCATTGCCGATCATGTTGCGTTAACCACAAATGTTACACGAGACGTAATTATCCAAACGGAGGAATAGTGAAATACAATGGACGAAATGCAGAGGAAGTTTTTGTGAGCTTGGCTGCAAACATTAAATATGAAGCAAAACACAAAACCACAGAAACGCCTCTCACTGAAAAGAAGGAGAGCCCAAAAGAAAAGTCAGAAGATGGAATTGTTGTATCAAGTGAGGAGAATCAATCGGTAATGGCCATTGCCGAACCAACCGCAAAGCAGTTAGCCACATCATCCAGAAATCTGTTGAGAAACGAGACCCCTAAAACAAAAACCACCAAGAAATGCAGTGATTCTCCTAAATCTACAATTAGTGTTGTTGACAATTCAACTTCAGTGAATAACGAGTGTGTTTCTTCCTCATTGCCATACACAAGACGCGGTTTTTGTGCAAACGAACTTAAAACAAGCTCTCCTTTCAATCACGAAGCAGCCCAACAAGATCCCACAACAACGCGAAAACTTAAGCTTTCCAAAGAGGTACTACAGCTGAAAACCGATGCAGTGGCCAACTATTTGATCCATTCCTTCTCGCGTCACTTTTCACACAGGCAGAAAGAAAACTCGGGGATGTGAACTGCCAAGCAAAACGTTCACATCACATTAAAAGAAAGTCTAGAAAAAAGACCGAAAAATTCACAACAAAAAAACGAATCGATCCTATTCGAGACCATCATCACAGGGTACCAGGCTCATCTTTTGTGTGTCACAACAACCATTCGTTCCAGCAACACCTCGTGAATCATTCGTGCTACCATCCCAATACCCCTTTTCATCACATTTGTACACTGCGTACCTTTCCGACTGTGATTTCACACATTGTCAACAAGCGCAAATTCTCTCTCTTTCAAGTAGATACATACACACAACATGGTCTTTGAAACACAAGGGTCTGAAATTCTCTTCATTGTACTATGGTTTGTTCAATTCTTTCTCATGCTTGCATGTTCCATAGTGCTCATTCTTTTCCGAAACAAGACACAATCCATTCGAGCCCGAGCTCCAGTGCTCTCCGTGTTATCTTCCATCGGAGCAGGAATTTATTTAGCAGCGTATACACTCTCTTACAGTGTTCCTGGAACACCATGTCAAATGATTGTCTTGTTGGCAAATGTGAGTTTTTATGTCATGTTTGCACCTTTACTATTGAGAGCTTGGAGAATTTACTTTATCTACCATTGGAATTTCAAGTGAGTATTATTATGTGTGTATTTGTTGATATTAACTCTATATGTGTCTTTTATCATTCGAAATGGAATGGTTCACCATATTTCCTGAATGTTCATCTTCGAAACTCAAAACCAATTTTATAAAAGACTCATGAAAAAGCAAAAGGAACAAGATGAAGCCTCTCAACAACGAAAGAAGGAACGTGCTGCCAGCAGAAAGAATAAGACCAACATTGTTGCTACCACCAATGTCGCTCTCGACAGTAACACAACTGTTGTGGATGAATCGACCAATTTGTCAGCAAGTGCCACTGGCACATCGAGTCAAGCACCCATCTCACCTCGAGGTTCTGAAAAACAATTCAAATCAACAACTTCGACACTACAACAACAATCAACGAATAGAAATTGGCGTAATGACATTTCTGATTTACACACACAAAATGATCAAATGTCTGTCATTGATGTCGAAGATGTTCCAACCTTATTGGATGCTACTGAAGTTTCTGAAATGATGAGAAAGAGAAGAGCAGAACAAACAAGTACTGTCAACAAGAGAAGAGCTGAAGAATCGAATCTAGTCAAATTCTTTGTGGTCATGCTCGTGGTTGTCATTGTTGTAATGTTACCTGTGAGTTTGACATATCCTAAATTGTGTCCTCATGATTTCTTGTGTCAAATCAATGAGAGAGAGACAAATAGTCCATTCATGAGTTACATCTTGTATCCAAGATTGGTAGTTCCATTACTCTTCCTTGTGGATATCATGTTGTTAATTGAGGTGGTCATGTTGAAAGATGTCAATGATTCATATTCCCTCAATACTGAAATTCGAGTGACCACAGTCATTGTGTTAATTGGATCCATTGCATATGCCACAGTTTCATTCACGAACTTGTCCTTTGCTTTTATTGTGTTGACTCAAATTTGGGTTCAAGCTGTGCACGCTACTTGCTCCTATTTCCCTGTCCTCTTACTGATTTATACTTCAATGAAACGAAATACTGACAACTCGGATGAATTGGCCAGAATGGAAGTACCAAATAATATTGACAAAATTCTGGAAAATGACGTGACCAGAGAATTATTCAAGAGACATTTATTGAATGCATTGTGTGGTGAAACCATGTTGTTTTATGAAGAAGTTGTGGCCTATAAGAAATGTACTGCAATGGATCGATCTCAAAAGGCTCCAAATATTATTGAAAACTATATCAAGGATGATGCATTGAATGAAATTAACATTGCTGGTAAAGTCAAGAAGAGAATTATTCAAAGATATAATCAAATTACCTATGAAGATGAAGTACCTGTTGATTTGTTTGACGTTGCTGTTGAAAAGATGAAATTGGTACTCCATGAAAATGGTACTTATCAGAGCTTTTTGGAGAGTCAACCATTCAAGAATTATGTTAAAAAGATTAAGACTGGTAACAAGCTGAAGGCCATTGAGGTTGCAGGAGGAATTTAATAAGATCACACCTCTCTCTCACAGTCGTTGTTGTTATTGTTGTTTTATTAACACAATAGTTTATTGTATTTTATTTTCACACATGCATATACATGAATGAACAGTGAGCATGATCTTTACCTTAATATCATTGATTTTTATTTACTTCGAGAGTAAACATTGTTCAAGTCATGATGAAGGAGTATATTATTTTGGAGGAGTCATGGATGTGTTTGGTAATTATAAGCTGTAACAAAGATGAGAGAATCCATGTCATTACGACCACGGTGTCCATACTACCAATTTCATGCCATGAATCCTTTGTTGTTCTCATGCACTTTCGTTATAGACGTTGAGTTTCAACACGCAAAGCATGACACAGTGTACGCTCATACCAATGTACTCATGGGATGACCTTCACAATTCCATTTCGGGCCTGTGACCTCTTGCTCCAGTTCAACCCTGATTCTTCTTCATGTGGTACCATTCAGAATGATGGAGAAAAATACCTTTTGTTGTTTCGAAAATGGGAAGGTAAAAATCCACGACCGGATTTGTCCACTTTTTACCCAATCCTCTCGAAATGCAAATCGGTCCCGCCACCAATCATTAAAGACAAGGGAGCTGGCGTTCCCAACTCCCAGAAATAGTGTTACAATAGCATTTGGAAAGCACTTTATTTTTTAGAATCCTAACCATTTTAAAAAAGGTCGAGCAGGCTGTCGAAGTTTTGTTCTGGTGTTTGCTGGAGGTTTTTTCAATAAAAATGTTAAAACATGAACGAAACGCCTTTGTCGGTCTGTTGAGACCGGAATATCATGTTGCCATCAAAACAATGCTATTCGCAGTCCATCAATATATTAATGTCGAACATTTAATAGAAGATATTATTGATCAATGTGGATTTCATCGCAAGGATTTTAATACCATCCATCGCCATCTCGAACTATATTTCTCATACCTCATCACACACAACAAACGAGTCCCATTTGTTCTATACTGTTGCAAATTCCAGGTTGACAATTCAACAAAGATTGCACAATATGTTACTGATTGCATTGACCCGGACGAGGATAGTGCTATCTATAACATTTACTCTGACCCAAAATTTCAAAATCAAAGACAAAATCAAGAGTTAACATCAGAATGGATCAACAAACTACATTTTCAAGGCTATTTGAAATTGAAAGAGTGTCATGACGAGCTGATGCGAATTCGTCAAAAACGTAAACACTCCAAAACAAGTACAGCTTGCGAAGACCCACCTCAAACCTCAACAACGTCACAACGTTATTCTAGTTCAACCATCATGAAATTACTCGAACCAGAAAAAAATGTCGGCGTTATTGAATTACATAAAATCCTGGATCATGGTTTTGCTGAAGACTACATCACGTTGTCATATTCAACAAAAGAACAAACAGCACCGTATTACATGCTGCAACAACTAATTAACAACAAATTTATTCCAACACACTCATCAATTGTAAATACCAAGTCCGACACCATCTCTCATAATTTTGTAGACCATGCTGATTTTAAATCACAAAATAACGATGATGATAGTTATTATTCGGAATGTGATATATTTGATGAGGATATTCAAGAATTGAAAAAATTGTTTTTTCAGGTGTTAGGTAGTCGCAAATTAGTACCTCGAACTTTCTTTTTCACATATCTTCGTGATGCTTTTTCACAATTAATTTGCAAAGACAGTAGAGGCCATAGATGGAGCCCATCTGTTCTTTGTTTTGCTCAAGATTTATTGGTTATCATGGGATACAATGCGTATGAAGCATTGGCGAGAGGGTTGAAACGAGGACAAGAATTTGAACCCTCTTCTGAAAGATGTAACTTAGTCCTACCTTGTTCATCCACACTCGACCATCATTTTCACACCGCATCATATGGAGAAGGGAATACTAAACTAGACAAAGATGACTTTGATAAGCTAGTAGAAAAAATGAAGGTTATTGAAAATCAAAATTTTGGTCTTGTTCAAATTGATGCAGTAGATGTAACACCGCATTTAGGAATCAATACCAAGCTTGGGCTTGTATACGGTGCCAATGAAGGTCCATTGAAGATTAGTGATTGTACTGCACTAGCTCAGAGTCCGAATTTTCCACCCAAGGGTTTTTTAGCTGAAAAAATTGTTCAAACTTTATATTGCAGTATTAACGGTGAAGTTCGAATTCCTGGAAACTTCAAAGTATGCACTACTGAAACTGAACAAACCATTAGAGACACGATTTCTGAATTTCGTGACACATATACTCGAAACATCGTCTGTACTGTGTCAGATGCAGGGTCTGCTAATTACAAATATTTCACATCGAGCCCAAATGAACTACATCATTTTTGCTACAGTCACCATTGCAAAAACATGAGGAATGCAATTAATGGGAGACCAAAATTATATCCGGTTGCCACTAAAGTAGGTGCTCCAAACCTTCAAATTGCACGCCATTCCTCTGCTTGTATTTCTTCCAACGACAACGGAAACGGTTGCCATTTGATGAAAATTGTTATTCAAAGAACACAAGCGACCAACATACCACTTTCCTTCATAGTGAATGACAAAGACACAATTTCATTTGAATGGAAAGAAAAAGAACCACGGAATTTTAACTCTGGAGGCATTTCTTTCTATCATAGCAGCAATGACAACGAATTAAGTGTTACGTTGTTGAGTGAAACCCTTCATACTAACATTGGTAAAGTGTGTGTGGCAAATTTTAGCAATCAAGACATAGCTGTCACCAAAATTTCTTGTTCTATTTTACAACGATTTGAATTGAACACACTCGATGAAATATATAGACAACAACCTTTAGAGTGGTGTAAAATAGTTAAACGGAGCTCGTTTATCAAATATGATGATCAATCTGAGGATGTATTACGTGATGTATGCAATTTACAGTTACTTGAAAAATTACGATTATTGAACGAGAGAACCAACTATCGATATTTAGGATTCTATAAGTACTTAAAAGCGATACATGATTTATTTCATGTTTACGATGACAAAAATCATGATGGAACATCTTCACACAATTTGCACGAAGTGTTGCAAGTTCTTAAGGAAAATTTGGACTATTTGAATGAGTGGGATACCGTTTTCCAAGACGTCATTATTTCCAATAAGAATAATAATTTTACATTATCCGGAACCCTCACAAAAAACATCATTATCCATAACATCAAAACAATTCAGAAATTGATCAGAATTATTCCACAAGATGCAGTTTTTGATTTGTCTTTATTGGGAACACGTTCTCTTGAAGGATTTTTCGGAGAGTCACGTGATTATTCAAAAAGAACCACAGTATTGGACTATCATAGAAGTTACTCAAACATGAAAATCAAATTAGTGAAAAAAGAATGTGTATATCTTTCATACAATAACGATAGAAAGAGGAAATATTGTGATGCCCCTAGTCAAATTAACCAACAAATTTTGATGAGAATGACTGAAAAACAATTTGTTGACTTTAATAATGAAAGAAAGCAAGCTAGAGAAAGCGTGACATCCATTTCTTATAGTTTTACAGATCAAGATTTAATTTGTGCGAAAGACTTACAATTGCGATGTTTACAACATCGTGTCAACTCCATCCGTCAATCATACCATCAGTCAAGACATGACTATAGGGCCGGATTTGCCACCGATTTCATGGAGACAAGCATTTCCAATTACTACAACATTTCACTTCCTGTTTTCCATATTGAAACAAGTGAAGTTTTGCCAAACTTAACAGAACGACTTACATTAACCGACGACATCAGTTTTACCATTATTCAAACACACGACTCATTAATTCATGCTCAAAATCATATTGCGGCATTTTTGCTTAAAAAGCCCGTAGAATTTGAAATTAAGACTAATCATATTTCTTTGAGCAATGCAACCGTAGAGGTTCGCAATTTCAATGAGAACAATGAAAATGCATCTCGACATTCTGAACCAATTAACTCATTTAAAATATTTGTGGCACCAAATCAGACGGATCCATTCAAATTTAAATTAATTGGACAATTTTCATCAACAACCAGCACCAAGCTTTATCAAAAACAAATTGCTGTGATTGTTGGAAATTATCAGTTGTTGTCACCTCCTTTTTACGTATTTGCAAAGAAAACAAAAAACCTCGTTTCGTATTCCCAGCTGAGCCAGGTGGTGGCTTCGTCTCAAGACATGCAAATCGGTCCCGCCACCAATCATTAAAGACAAGGGAGGGCACACGTCGTCTCGGTTGATAAGGTGCCAGTTGGGTACCACGTACGGACGAAAAACCAACACAAAAAATCACATCAAGCGCCAATCCTCATCTCGCGTCGACATTGTCATAATATTGGTGGTGTCATTTCAAGTGTGGACGACAAGACCAC